TAATCACCCTTTCAAGGCGTTTTGCAGAGAAATAATAGCTTGAAAAAGCAAACACTTTTCTGCTTTAGCTAAAGAACCTCCTGAAGAGGTACATATACATATATACATATATAAATATATATCCTCAAAAAAAAGTGCTCCCTCATTGAGCCTGGGGGCCTGCTTAACAATTACAATATGCTTCATCCACTTTTCAGTTTGGCCCCCTTAACCAAGTTCTAAAAGTTGGCAGGAGGTGGCTCTTGCACCAAAGTGAAACTTCATTGTTTATTTGAATTTTCACCCAGTCATTTTTATATTGAGCACTTACTGGGGCTAAATGATAAACTAAGTTGGTACACGGTACAACTTTTATAAAAAAGTAGAACTTGTTTGGTGAAGCCCATGATATAAGTGAATCATTCTCAACCAGGCATGATTTTGCATCCAGGGGACATTGACAATAACTGCAAACATTTTTTTATTATCACTACTAAGGAAAATTCCTACTGGTGTGTGGTAGATGGAGACCAGGGATGCTGTTAAATTTTCTACAATGCACAGGACTGTCTCCAACCCCAAAGAATTATCCCATCTAAAATGTCAATAATACTGAGATGGAAATGCTAGCTCAATCCACAGTGTAGCACATGTACAGGTTATTCTAACACAAGGGAGACCGTGATAATAAATATTAGGTATTTCTGAGTATCTTTCAAGTTCATAAAGAGACAGCACGTTATACTCAGTAACTAGATCCCATCTAGTTACTTATTATTAACTAGCAATAATTTCAAGTTGGTCCTGGAAATCATGCTCCAGAGAGAACAAAGCTCATTGTGTTCTTACATGGGTATTTGTATACATTTCTCTGGCCTCTTGGAGGTAGCAAGGTTCATGTATATACTTCATATTTGATCCTCAGAGTAGTTCTATTTAAGGTCCTCTGTCTATTTGCATAATTGTAATTGAAGAGCAGTTTTCCTACTTGGAAAAGCTATTCTCTCCAAATGGGAGAGGCAGGGGTCTCAGCCTAGCCAACTACAAGGGCCAAATTGACCCTGGCAGTCATTGATGACAGATGCCCCAGACAGATGTCCATCCATCCTTAACAACTCTCTTAAGCAAACAGAATATCTCCAATTTACACTTGGAAACTGAGGCTTAGTGTGACATGACTAAGATCTCACTGCTCCTAACTCACAGCATCTTGGCACAGTTCCAGGCTTTCTTTTTATTTTTAATATTTATTTTTTAGTCATAGTTGAACACAATACCTTTATTTTATTTATTTATTTTTATGTGGTACTGAGAATCGGACCCAGGGCCTCGAACATGCTAGGCAAGAGCTCTACCGCTGAGCCACAACCCGATGAAGAATCCTTCCAACTGTGCAAAGCTGCCGTTCTCCTCAGTGATAGTGATTTCAATGTCCTTACAGAGCTTGATAATTCAAAAAATGATTTCCTTGTATACTCTTTTTCTCTAGTATTTTTTTTTAGGCAAGTGCATGGAAAGTGGTAGAAGGTATATTTTAGACTTAGATTGAAGGAGAGAGTCATCACCTGTATTTTTATCAGTCACCTGGCATCTATCTATATTCATACATCAATCATGGAGGAAGTACAGTGACAGAGTCATCTTGCTTCACATTGGAGTCAGATGAAAGAGTTCCTCAGGAGGGACCATACACCATGGTTATGTATCCTTAAAAAAAAAGAAGAAGAAGCAGCAGCTTAGGGAAATTCATTCAAGTATGATATGGCTTTAAATGACCAAGTTTAAACTGAGCCACATGCTGTCACTTAAGTACAGATGGTCAGGTTTTGTTTATGTATACAGAGCCAACAGCTCATACAAAGCGGTGCCCTGTACACGTAAACCAGCAAAGTCATTTTAGAACCCAGAGTCTGAAAAGTCTATATAAATGTAAATTACCAACCAAAGGGAGCATAAATCTATGTACGTGAAAATGAAGCTACTCTCTCCTCATCCTGCTCCCACTGGCCTGTGTAGGCTCACAGGGTATCTTTCAAGTTGGGCGGTCTCTCAGCGTGGAGTGAGCTGAGCTTTGGCGTGCCAACATTCAGCTGGCAGTGATGGGGACCTGCTTCCTCTGTGCTGGTTTGTCATTGTCAGGGGGCTTCCAGATCTTATGGAGTCACTGAGGTCTTCATACATATGACTTGTCACACCAACCCTGTTACGATCCCTTGCCTTCTCCTGCATGAGTCTTCCTGGCAACTTCTTCCAGAGGCTTGGCCCAGTAACTCATCTCATGGCTGGTAAACCAGCTTTGTCCAGGGCCAAAGCTGAGCTCTGGTTGGAAACAAAATGCTTCTGAAGCTGCGTTTCCTTTTTTATACCACTGTGTTCCATTTGGGGACCTGGAGCAGCCATGACATAAGTGGAACTCTGAAACATGTGAAAAGCTAAGCTGCTGCAAGTCCGTTTTTCCAACAAGAGAGACGTACTCACAACAGGCAGGGGATTGATGGGATGAGAGAGAATGTCAGCAGACTGTTTGGAGCTCCACGCAGGAAGAACCTAGAGAAGAACAATCTAGCTAAATGAAATTGTTTTCTTTCTTTCCAACCATGGTGTATTAATTGGGTACAAATTGGTCCACTTACTGCCAATTGACATTAAGCAATTTACCATTTGATGGCAATTGAAAACCCATGCCTGCTGCTCCAAACCCGCTTGATTGTTCCAAACAGATTTCCCATCCTAAAGTGGAAATGGATTTAATTTGATCTCTTCAGTCTGTTCGCCATTATGTGTGAAACAGTGATATTGGTAGCAGCTTACCTGCGCAGTGGAGTGTTCAAAATGAAGGTACTCCAGTTACCGGAGAAAATCCAAAGGAGGGAGCCACGGTGTGGTGTCGCTATGGTTATAGACCTGGGAGAGCGTGGCTGTTTGTTGTTGTCATTGTTGCTGCTTCCCTTAAACCCAGAGCAGCTTAAAGCAGAGGAAAGTCCTAAAACACAAGCTACTTCAGACCTACCACTTCAATAACAAAACCAAGGTCTCAGGAAGTTACCTGACTTGCCCCAAGTCTTGAAAATAGAATCTGCCCTGTCCGCCTCATGTCTATGTCCTCTTGATTCCCACACATTCCCTGCTCTCACCCCCAAGAAGCCCCCTACCCCCACCCCAGGCCCTGTGAGTGGAGAGATCATGGGAAGAACATGTGATCTTGTGGCCAAAAGACTTGAGTTCAAAGAATACACCTGAGTCACTTAACTTCTCGGGGTTTTGGATCCTTTATCAGTGAAAGGAGAATACAGATCCACACTTCCCGGTGTTTCTATAAGGATTGAATGAAGCCATCACACAAAAGCACTTTTAAAACTATAGAGGAACGTGAGATGGAACACGTTGTCTGACAGAGGCTCAGCCTGGCCAGGAGATGAGCCTAACGGGTCAAAGGTTGAGCACCAGGCAAGGCTCGAACTTTGAGCAATTGACTACCAGGATCAGGGCACCCTGGTACTCCCCACTCATACCTGAATTCAAAGGAAGATTAAGAATTAGAAGGCTAAAAACACTTGCAGATGTTTGGCATGGCTGCGGTTAGCCTTTTGACTTTTGGAACAAGTAACATCCAGTGAAATTCATTCTGCTTGTTTTTCCTTTAGTTACATTGTCAGCATATTATTTGAAAACTGTTTAAAAATCTAAAGCTCTATTTGGTAGAAATATATCTAATCACTTATCTGAACAAAGATGCAAACGTCTTTGCCTGGGCTTTCTGTCCTTGTACTATACTGTGAAACACAAAGAACTTGACCCCCATAGAATGCTGGCAACGTGCCCAAATCTTTTATGAAAATGTTTACAAAAATGCAAGTTCTCAGCACTTTCACAAGTCCAAGCATAAATGGAACAAGGTCTACCCAGGTCATACTAGAAATCCCCTGCGCTCAGAGACACGAAGTTTTGCTTCCTGGAAGCTATATGACTTGGAGAAAGTCACTTTACCTCTTTGAGTTGATGAGAGGTAAACAGGAATACAAAATGGAGATAATAACAGTATCAACCCCAGTATTAAATAGGACCATGTCATCCACATCTCAGCCCAAATACTTTCTGTTCATGAGGCTATAGTGGAGACTCCAGTATGTTACTCAGATCCCCCCTTTCAGGAATGTAGCATCATTCCCCCACAGTTGGGCACCCTCCCTAGATTGTCTTCAGCTGTCCACCTCTGCAAAGATCTCCCCCTCATCCTTCAACGCAGCCTCTCAGTTTAAAAGTTGCCCTCTAGCCCCATCTCAGGATTCTCTGCAGGACTATCCAAGATCCAAACATCTCTGTGGCTTTGGAGGCTGTTATATTTGGATATGAAGTGTTCCCCCAAAGCTCCTATGTTAATGCAGGAATATTCAGAGGTGAAATGAGTCAACTATGAGATGTGTAACCTAATCAGTTTGTCCTAGTTTGAATGGACTAACAGGTTGTAGATGTAGGCAGGCGGGGCATGGCTGGAGGAGGTAAGTCCCTGGAAGCACACCCTGGAAGAGTTCACCTTCCCTGTGGCCTCTCCCCCACCTACCCACCCCCTCTGTTTCTTGGCTGCCATGAGTGGAGCAAAGCTCGTCCACCACACCTTTCCAGTATGATGTTCTGCTGTTCCTGGGTCCCAGCACAATGGACTCAGCCCCGTGGACTAAACCTTTGGGACTGTGAATCAAAATGAACTGTTCATCCTTTAGGTTTTTCTTGTAGAGTATTTTGGTCACAGCAATGCAAAGCTGACTAACATGGAGGCTGAGGCTTTGCTGTGTGTGACTCCATAACAGTCCAACTTCTTCCACCAGTCCTATCCCCTACAGTTCGCCAAGGACTCAACTCTGAAAGAGCTCCACAATGAACTCTCTATATGCTAAACTACCTCAGAGTCAGTTTTTCGGGGAACCTGACCTGCAACATCTCTCCTTAGCAGGATGCAGTAGCACACCTTATAATCCTAGTGACTGGGGAGGCTGAGGCAGGAGGATCACAAGTTTGCCAGCCTCTGGCCTTTGGACTTTTTCTCAAAAGTAAAAAGGGCTAGGGATTTAGGTCAGTGGTAAAGTAACCCTGGGTTCAATTCCCAGTACCAGGTGGGGGGGAAAAGAGTTACCTCTTGTCTGTCACTATCTATATAACTTGCCCTTGTCACTATCTTAAAAATGTGTCATTTATTTATTTGTGTGTTTATTGTCTGTCTCCCTGATGCAATAATGCATGTCTCTTGAAGGCAAGGACTTTGTGTGTTTTACCTACTGCCACAGACACTAGAACCTGGCACACAGTAGGCATCCACTTATATTTATGAATAAAAGAAAAGCAGATGTCAACAGCTTCCACTTTAGTAAACACAATGAACTATTCAAATGTTAGTTTAAATATTTTTTAAAGACTGTAATTTCTTGGTTCAGAAGAGATAAGTTAAAGGTAGTTGGTCCATATGGTGCAGGACTCATACGGTGAATCACTTACCACAAACTAATGGATCCTGACTCCACTGACATTTCTGTGTGTACACTAATGGTACACTCATTTATCTATCACCATTATGGTCCCTCAAAATATCCAAAGAGTATTTTCACACATGAAAAACACAACTTAAAAAAAAAAATTCACCGCAGTCTATTCATAGGCACCAGCACTTGCCACTTGGATAAACAAAGACTCATAACTAAGAAAATAACCATCAATAAAACAAACAGGTTATTAATTCAGTAACAGAGTGTTGTCATAGGTGAAAGGGATTCATTTGTTGATTCTTGGGAGTCTCTGGGTCATGAAGGCTCCAGGTCAAGGGATCTGGGCTCCAGTGCAACCTCTGCCTCCAACTCACCTCTCTGGTCCTGAGCATTCTCTTCTATGAAGTGAGAAAGATGCTTTCTGCCATCCCTTTTCACTTTGAAATATCTTGTGCCTGTATTAACTGAGTGATGTACATCAATGACACATTGATGTCAAAGAAGACAACACACACTACATACCAATTTATACACAATGAAGCTAAAAAGTCTTAACCTATAGGATACTTGTGTTGAAAAACAGACAGTCTGTGTTTGATTATTTCTTTGACTGTCTGAGTTCAAAGTCACACTGAAACTGATTTTTTTTCATGAGATTGGATTAATAACTGAAAAGACAAATAAGCTTGAAGCCAGTGGATGACAGACGTATCTGACTGACTTTGATCTAGAGGGCTAGGATGGGTTTTTCTGGGTCTTGGGAGGCAGTGTTTTTCAGAGTATTTCTTTTGAGAAATGCAATAATCCCTTTTCTCAAATGTGTGAACTAAATGAGGAGGTTCCAGACCCCATCTGTCACCTCTGACTGTGAGACCCTGCTCAGAAAATTGTGACCTTTGTTCCTTTTCTCTTTGTTGTCCTCCTCTGTCCCATCATGGCCATCACCCTCCATCCTTTATCCTCTTCCACTCATCACAGTTGATCATCTCATCCTTCTTCATAATTTTGATTATAAGGACATAGTTCTCATGGCGGTTTCTCCAGTTGTAACTTCTCAATTTCTAAATTGAACTCTTAATTGCCTACCATACAGTTCCACTACCTACTTCAACACTTCAAATCCATGTTTCAGCTCTTTATTAGCTTTCACCTTGAGCAGTTCTACATCCTCTTTTGTCTCTTAGTTTGTGATAGCACTCGTGTTCAAGTTCTCACTTTCAGAATCTGAGATTTGCTAAATTCTTTCCCTTTCTCTTTTCTACTCTCTTTAGCACATGCTCCATTCCACTACTCCCACCCTAATAGAGTCCTTGAAGAAGATCACCCATTCAATAATCAACAGGCTTATATCACCACTGAAAGTTTAAACAGTTCTGGAAGCTGGGAAGTTCAATATCATAGTACCAGCTGGTGAAGACCCAGTACCTTCAAGATGGTACCCTCAATGCTGTGTTCTCAGAGGGGATAATACAATGACTTCACATGGCAGAAAACAGAAGAGCAAAGGGGTGAACTCTGTCATTCAAGCCCTTTTATTAGGGTACCTAATCCCACTTATGACAGTGGGGCCCTCATGATATAATCAACTCCCAAAAGCCATACCTCCCAATATTGTTGCATCAGGGATTAAGTTTCAACGTGAATGTTTAAGGGCATGCAAGCATTTAAACCATAGCACCGTAAAAGAAAATAGTGACAAATTTGGCTGTATTAAAATATTTTGTGCACCAAAAGATTTAACCAGAGAGACTTTGGGTTTGGTAGGATGAAAGAGACAACTCTATGAAAATAAATGTAATGTTAGATACAATTATCACAATCTACTACTTCAAGACTTTGAAAATCAATTAAAGACTGATAATAAATTGGGGACCATTTATTCCTTAAATGCTACTGGAGCTTTGGGTAAGGACAACAAGAGACTGGTCTTCTTGTCTGAAGCTCATCCCTTGCTCCAGCTTGATTACCAAAAACTATAGTTATGCCCGTCCTGGGCAAGCTCCAAAATCAGAACCTTTGCCGCCAATGAAACCCAGCTCAAGTCATCATGGAGACTGGAAGAACAAGGTG